TTCATTTATTTATTTGAGACAGGGTCTCACTAGCCTTGGCAATCCTGGAGGCCAGTATGTAGACCAGGCTGACCTGGAACTCATAAAGATCCACCTGCATCAGCCCAGTGTTGGGACTAAAGTATGTGCCACCACGCATGACTTAGCAGTGAAAACTGTTTGCCCCGAGATTAGACCTCTGCACTGATGTGGGTGGCTGTGTCCTGAGATGTTTCTGTATTGTGTTTTACATAATGGTTGCTTCTCAAACTGACATCTATTGTGCTGTCTTCCATCCCTGAAACTAATTCAAAATTTTCATTGATGTGTTTCATTCCTGTGATTATCCAAAGCCAATTTTAAAATTGGTTTAGTTGATTTGAAATTATATTTTCATTAGTTAAAATTGTAAGTATTGGCCAGGTGTGGTGGCACAAATCTGTAGTCCCAGCTTTTAGGATCTCTTGAGTTCAAGGCCAGCTTGGTCTACAGGGCTTGTTTCTTTAGTTTCAGGAGCTTGAGCAGAGTGGTGCTTACCTGTCATTTCAGTGATAGGGAGATGGAGGTAGGAGGATCAGGAATTGAGGGGCATCCTGAATTACATGGGCTATTTGAGGCTAGCCTGGACTACATGAGACCCTATCTTAAAATAAAAGAATAGTTTCAGTTTTGAGCCAGGGCAGGCAACACAGTCCTACAATTCCAGCTACTTGGAATCTAGGGTCAGAAAATTGAAAGTTGAAGGCCTGCTTGAGCAAATTGGTCAGACCCTATCTGAAAATGAAAGTAATAAGAGGGCTGGGTAAAGTAAAAAATTAAATACAAAACAAAGCTATAGCCCAGTGGTGCCTCACCCCGTGTTCCATTCCCCAGAACAGTGGCAAGTATACACTACATAATTGGCCCACTGCTTGCTTAGTTTATGTTCACAAAGAATGAAGAGGTTGAATGGTTTTTGGGTCTAATCAGTCTTGAAAATCTTTATTGTAAAAATAATTATTTAGATAGCATATGTAGTCAAGGTAAAGTAGTCTTCAAATCCATAACTTAATTGCTTTCTCTTTTTGTTTTTGTAGATACTAAAATGGATCGTAAAGATAAATTATTTGTGATAAATGAGGTAATTTTATAATTAATTACAAATACTTTATCAATGAAAAGATAACTCATTTTACAAAGGTTATTTAATGACTTGTAAAAGTCATTTTGTGAATAATTCAAATTTTATTTTCACTAATCTTTCACTTATTTTTATTCCATGATAGCATATGTGAAACTTAGAAAAGATACATAATAATAATTATCAATCAACGTATATAGTTTCAAAAATGTGGCTATTTATAGAAAACATATTGTATAAAAGTACTTTATCAATATTAAATATGCAGGGAAAATTTGTTCTTGCAGTATTACAGACTAGTAATAGTTAGAATTTCAAAGAATTGTTGAAGATACTAACCTTGTATTTCAAAGCAAAATTTTCTAAACAGTTTTAAGATAATTCTTTCTTTGGTAGTTTGGCACAGATGTTGCTGTAACGTGACATTATTGTGCGAGCTGTGGCAGCATTGTTGACCAGAACTAGAACAGTCCTTTTTTTTGGGAGCTTTCCTTCCAGTGTGGGAGACAGGACACACATGAGCTACAATTTCAGGTGAAAGTGCGAGAAAGAAAGTTGTGTGTGTATTTTTCATTGCTGAGCTAGACTAGGAAAGCCTTTCTGAAGGGGAGTTGTCAACTTACTATTCCCAGCTTAAAAAGGAAATTGGCGGAAAACATTCCGGTAGAGAAGGCAAGTACAAACTTGGAAAGTAGTTTAAAAAATAAAACCAACCACAAAAGATATATAACAAAAATTTTAGAAAGAAAAAAAGAAGAAAGAAAGAAAGAAAGAAAGAAAGAAAGAAAGAAAGAAAGAAAGAAAGAAAGAGAAAGAAAAACGTACTTAAATTTCTTAAGTTGGCAGGGGTCACATCTTGGGTAGCTTGAGATTACTAACCATAGGAATTTATTCTTATGATGCTTTTGTGATTTAAAATGGCCAGGGTTGGGACGCAGTCGGATCTCTGTGAGTTCAAGGCCAGCCTGGTGTACAAGAGCTAGTTCCAGGACAGGCTCCAAAGCTACAGAGAAACCCTATCTCAAAAAACAAAAAACAAAGATGTTGATTAAATCACTCTGAAGGAGGTTTTGCTTCTTACCGAACCCTTAATTCTTGAACAAAAGCCTATGTAAATAAATTTTTAAATTTTATAAAATTAAAACTCAAAAGTTGATGCTTAAAATAAAGGGTATCTTTGTTCTGTTAGGGTTATATTTTGAGATAGAATTTAGTTATTGCATCTCTTATGCCTGGTGCCTTATTTTCAGTCATTGTTTATGCAGGGACTGTAATTAGAGGACATCTTCAGTACAGCAAGGACACCAGTTACTCTAAAATACTAGGCCGGCTGGGCATGTAATTCAACACTTGCGGGGGCGGGCAGAGTATCAGGAGAAAGCCAGCCTGGGCTTCATGGTACCCTGCCAGTAAAAAAAAAATACATTATACCGTAGACTAGAGAGTTGAGAGGGATACACACAATATCAGGTTTACCTTGAGTAGAATGCCAGAAAGGAAATAAAATTCTGTGAGTAAATATATGCAGGGTTTTTTTTTTTTTTTTTTTAGTGGCCATGCTTAAATCTTTGGAGAAATCTGGTTATTGCAGCAAATTACTTCTTAATAATATCTGTTGCCTTTTTTCTTTTTCTTTCTATTTTTTAGGTGTGTGAAATGAAAAACTGCAATAAATGCATCTACTTTGAAGCTAAGAAAAAGCAGGATCTCTATATGTGGTAAGAGAATATGACAATAGAATTGAGTTGGGCTGTTGGAATGGGTTTATTGCTTGTCCATCTTATACAAGATCAACCGTTTATGTGAAAGGGAGGGATAGAGTATACTTGTTTGATTGCAGAATATTTGAAGCCCCTAAAGAACATTTTACGTGAATATTAGAGACATGGGCTGTCTATACCATACACATGCTTTTTATGTAATCTGCCTGCAGTGAACACTCCCTGCACTGTGCATCCCAATCCTCTAAAAAGCTTTCTTGTATTTCAGGCTTTCAAATTCACCTCATGGGCCATCTGCAAAATTCTTAGTTCAGAATAGTAAGTCTGACTTAACTTTTTTTTTTTTTTAAATGAAAATCTTAGAAATTTTGGGGGTTAATTGTGTCAAAGGACTTAACTGTGTTTTCATTACAATTCTTTAGTTCATACCCTGGCTGAACTGAAGATGACCGGAAACTGCTTGAAAGGTTCTCGTCCCCTTTTGTCTTTCGACCCTGTAAGTTTCTCATTCACTATAAATTCTGTTTAGTTATAAAAAAAGGTCTTTAAAGAAGGTACTCTTGATTTCAAATAATGTATTTATATTTTTATTTGTAGGCTTTTGATGAATTTCCACATTATGCTTTGTTAAAAGAACTCTTAATTCAGGTACATAACTGTCCTAAAAAGTATTTGTAGGAATGTATAATAGATGACTGTCTTCCTCTGAACTTGCTTGTTGACTTAGACATGAGAGCACAGAGTGTGTTGGGATGGAAACTAACAGGCTTGTTTCCTGCAAGATCTTTAGTACCCCACGGTACCATCCCAGAAGCCAGCCGTTTGTGGACCACGTGTTTACGTTCACCATTCTGGATAACAGGATATGGTTTCGGAACTTCCAGGTTAGCCTTGCTTTACTTTTTATGTGCTTAAATATATTGGGATATATAGCATTACTGACAATGCAAATGTACGTTCTTTGTTTTAAATAGCTCCATTTCCCTTCAGATATTTGTGACGAATGAATGTCTGCCGTCATATACCTGAAATCATCTCTATCTACTTCTTTTCATGGTTTTCATTTGATGTGACCTATAACATTTGTAACAAGCCACAGTACTCATTTAGAAAAGAAAGTAGATTGGAAATCTGTGGGCTGAGTGGCTTGCAGCCTTTCCGGAATCCTGTAAAGGACAGCTCGTCGTTTCTCTCCTGCAGTGTTAGAGTGCAGCAGGGAGACGGGTAAGATGCTGTAAGACTTCGAGAAACATAATTGCTATAGTAACAGCTTAGGTGAGTCATCGCATGACTCATCAGAAGTAGGGATGCTGGAAGTCTTGATCAGGAATTTGGCGATGCAAATGTGCAGAAAAATGGAAAAGTTCATGCAGCAAGTGATGGATGTAGGACTCCTGTCTGCATGTTTTATAGAAGATGCTTTACAGTATCAGTTAAATTTGACTTTGGAGAGTAGATCTATTAAGAATGTTCATGTCGGCCAAATCCCTGAAACTTCAAGGCCAACCTGTTCAACATAGTGAGCTCTAGGACGGCCAGGGCTAAGTAAAGAGACCCTGTCTCAACAGACAACCAAAAAGAAAGTTAATGTTTGTGAGACTCAAGATATGAAACAAATACAAATATCTCAACTTACAAAAGCACTGAGAGGTAAAGTTTGTGGTATGTGAGCATGAAGACTTGAGGCCTAAGTGGTGCGTATATTATCCTAGTTCTGGAAAAGTAGAGGCAGGTAGATCACTGGGGCTTGTGGACCGGCCTAATTTAATCTCCAAGCTCCAGGTACCAGTGAACCATCTTTTTTTTTTAATTATAAATATTTATTTATTTATTATGTATACAATATTCTTTCTGTATGCCTGAAGGCCAGAAGAGGGCACCAGACCTCCCTACAGATGGTTGTGAGCCACCATGTGGTTGCTGGGAATTGAACTCAGGACCTTTGGAAGAGCAGGCAATGCTCTTAACCACTGAGCCATCTCTCCAGCCCCCAGTGAACCATCTTAAAATGTGGGGCTGATGAGATGGCTCAGCTGATAAATGCTTGCCACTAAGCCTGGTAACCTGAGTTTGTTCTGGAACACACGTGGTAGGAGAGAACTGAGTCCTGTAAGAAGTATTATGATTTGCCACCTGCCAGGTTCTTACTGTACCTTTATCTCCAAGGTTATCACTTGTGCTTCATTTTTTGTTTTTGTTTGTTTGTTTGAGACAGTGTCACTCTATGTAGCTCTGGCAGGCCTGGAACTCATTATGTAGATGAGGCATAGATCCACCTGCCTCAGCCCAGCAGTGATGAGATTAAAAGTGTGCCGTGCTTGGTTTATTAATTCTTAGAGCACACTCGTGATGACAGCTGGGGTAGTTTACCTTTTGTCAATATTATGCCCAAACCAGACGACTGTTTCTTTTTTTATTGAAGATTATAGAAGAAGATGCTGCTCTGGTGGAAATAGGACCTCGTTTTGTCTTAAATCTCATAAAGATTTTTCAGGGAAGCTTTGGAGGACCAACTTTATATGAAAATCCTCACTACCAGTCTCCAAACATGGTAAGCTGGGTATTTTGATTGTTTTGGTTTTTTTTTTTTTTCTCTCTCTCTGGGGCAGGTGGTTTTTGTCTGCAACTTTTTCTTGTAATTAGTGCTTTGCCACCTATATGACTGAATTTGTTTTATTATGCGTGCAATTTACTACTTTAAAAAATGATTCTGGGTGAAGGGACATAAGTGGAGGCCTTATTAAAAACCATCTACTCTTTGTTGTGTCTAGCATCGGCGTGTCATAAGGTCCATCACAGCTGCAAAGTACAGAGAGAAACAACAAGTCAAAGATGTTCAGAAACTGAGGAAGAAAGAACCAAAGACTATTGTTCCACACGATCCCACTGCAGATGTCTTTGTTATACCAGCAGAGGAGAAACCAGTAGAAATACAGTGGGTGAAGCCAGAGCCTAAAGTAGATCTGACAGCAAGAAAGAGACGGATTTACAAAAGGCATCGGAAACTGCAGCAAAAGACGAACAGAGGGAATGCAAAATGAGTCAGTGGATAACTGGCTTCTCTACTTTATATTTATTTTGTATTCCACTTGTAAATACTTGTAGTATCAGAAACTAGCTATGTCTAATTAGGGTGCCTTTTAAAAAAAATCTTCAAGTCCTGTTGGTCTTTTTCTAAATAAAGCATCTCCAGAATGCACAGCTACTTTCCGTTCTTCTCACAGCCCGTTTAGTGCTATTGGATACTTAGCACACTCACAATTTGGTTAGAATTTTAATCTGGTCAGCCTGAAATTCAGTCATGTTTACTTACAAAGGTGGCAGGCACTCAGAGCAGAGTTTGTGGGTGGCAAGGTGGGGAATGGTCATTTTACTGAGTTTTTACTGCTGAAGTCACTAGTTCATGACGCCTTGGGTAACTGACTTCTGATTATTTCTTTAATCTCAACCAAGAGTACATTTAATTCTTAGGTTTTGAAAACCAATCAATACCTGTCTTATTGATAAAATTCAAATTTATATTAGAAGCAATTACTATATTTACTTAGACGTAGTAAAAGGAAAAGTAGGACAGGGTATAAGAATATTGGAGGGTTTTCCTCCTGTGAAAAGACATTAGCTTCTAGAGAGCCGTAGCAGCAGGGAAAGCAGCAACTTGATCCTCCAGTGATGGTGGGGATAGTGACTGGGGGTGCACGGATGTTATCTATAGTTTTTAACATCCATACATATATGTTAGACTTGTATCCGATGGCTTGTCGGGGGTCTTTCACCACATCTGCAGCCTGTTTACTAACTGAATATGTTTCTCTTGCAATCACAGCCATATCAGCATCATTCCTTATCCTTTCAAAGAGCCTTCAGCTTGCTTTTTGTCTTTCTAATAGTGATGTCTGTGGTAAATACTTCTATATAGAAATCTCTACAACACTCATGGTTAAAACTGGTCAAAGGTTTTAAACAAGGCTTTCTGATGATTTTTGTAAGGTCCAAAATTGTACTTTGCCAGCCATTAGAACATTCATGTTCTTGTGTGGCTTGCCAATGAGAATGCTAACTGCAAAAGGATTTTTGTGTGTGTGGAGGGGGGCCAGACTAATCTTGTTTTTCTTTGGTAGGCTTTCTTACATATTTCTAGAAGTTTTATATAGTTACATAATTCTAGACACAATTTCTAGTTTATTATTGATTTTTGTCTGTCCTTTGGTTTTTGTTACTATGATAAACATCCTGACCAAAAGCAACTTAGTTCATCTTAGACTTATACTTCATGATTACAGTTCATCACTGAGGGAAATCTGGAGGCAGGAACTGAAGCAGAGACCCAGGAGGAACCCAAGATGACTGGCTTGCTCAGCTTTTTTTTTTTTTTTTTAACTTTAAATTATTTTTGTAAACAATCTTTTCTTCATTTTACATACCAATCCCAGTTACCTCTTCTGTCCTCCTGCGCCCTCTACCCCTCCACCCAACCCCCAATGCACTCCTCAGGGTAAGGCTTCCTATGGGGAGCCCTTAAAGGCATATATATCACTGAGGCAAGACCAAGTCATCATCCTTCCATCCTTAGGTATCCCTCCTAAGAGAATGGGCTCCAAAAAGCCAGTTCACAGCTTTGTGCTTCTGTTTTTAATCTACCTCCTGCCTAAGGATGGCACCCCTTATAGGGGTCCTTCCTACATGAGTTAGCAATTAAAATACCCCACAGACATGCCCATAGCCCCATGTGAAAAAAGTACTTCCCACAGTTGTGGTTTCCTCCAAAGAGACTCTAGTTTGTCAAGTTGACAAAAACCAGCACAAAGTTAACTGTGTATGGGGGCTGGAGAGATGGTTCAGGGTTAAGAGCACTGGTTGCTCTTTCAGAAGACCAGAGTTCTGTTGAGTTCAATTCATGCTTTTAATTGTGCTACTTTTCTTGAACTAGTTTAAATGAAACTACGTGAAGTCATTTAAATGCTGTAAGTGATTTGGGTCAGAAGTTCACCTGAAGTTCTGGACTGGCCAGTTTCTCATGGCCGTAGCTGGTTAAATACAAATGACAAAAGGGGCATTGGTTCTTTGGGCAGGTAAATATCTCGAAGAGTTTATTAGAGAATATATTTTATAAGCAAGTTACATATCATTAAAAAGTTGCCAGTCTTGAAAGAGGTGAATTATTAATACTTTGGATGTGGGCAGGGCAAGGGTTTGGTAGAATTTTCCACTTCACAATTTCTTATATTTTTTTTCTGTTCATTTTTCCAGTCATAATTCCAAACAACTTGTAGAGGTTTTTATTCCTTGAGTCGCATCTCTTTCACCCACAGGTAGCTTATATAAAATCAATGTATTTAATAGGAGTGCTCTGTAAACAAAGAACAATAGCTCCTGTTTGTAATCCTAGCTCTTCAGAAGCCGAGACTACAGACCTGCAAGTTCAATATTACTCGACTATGCAGTCAGCCAAAACCAACCAAAGAGGACTCACCAAAATAACAACCAGTTTAATCAACTTTACAGTCAATCACTTGTCACAGGCCAAAATAAATGGCACCCCTCCCCCCCTTCAAAGCAGCCAAGTGACTTGCAGTTTACAAACAACCACACATGGCTGAAGGAAGGAAAAATGTATCTCCCCCACCCCCAACTCCCACTCCTAATTGATTCTCAGGAGAAGAAAGGTCTTAGGTTTCTTGCAAACTCAATCTTTTCCAGCCCTATCCATTACTAATTTAACAAATGACTGAAAACGGTCGGAGAGCTGGCTGAGAGGATTGGAGCGCAGCCTGCAGTGCCCGAGGTTCCTGGTTTGAGTCCCAGGTAAGTCTGTACTGTGTGATGTAATGTGTCTGTGCTGTGTGTGACTGTGTATGAATGTCTCTGCTGTCTGAGTCTGTGTGCTGTGTATGAATGTGATGTCTGCTTGCATAATTAATTGAAAAAAAATGACTGAAAAAATAGGCAAGTGTTAATTTTGAGTAGTGATTTAGACAATCTGATACATAGAGAAAATGAGTTGGGCTTTGTGAATATGTTGGGGGTGGGACATTAACGAAGGCACTGTCTCCCTGATGTATGTGGTTTCTCCAACCCTGTACAAAAGACATCCACAAGGAATATCTTCTGCTGCCATATATTGTTAAATAGAACCCACAGCTACTTCATGTAAGTAAATATTCCATCTTAAAGTGAAATTATGAAAGCATTTTAATGGGCATTAGATACTATTTTCACATTCATTTGATTAGAGTAGGTACCCAGATCTCTCATCACATAGCTACTCAAATCCACCCAGACCGGCCTGCCGGGTAAATTCATCCCATGACTCCATTCTCAACCTAGTCTTGAAAAGGTAGTAGAACACAGAAAGGTAGGATTCAACAGTGATGTATAGTACTCAGGCGTCTTTTAGGTCATACATTTTACCTTTTATTAAATATTTCCATGCAGAGGGACAAAGTTTGGGGAGGAGGGGCCTGAAGAAGACAGGTTTTTTTTTTTTTTTTTTAAATTAAAGATTGAAATTTTGGTCTTAATATCATGACAATCCTGCCTCAACTCTGCTTCCAGGGTTTGCAAATGAAAACACATGAAGGGAGGGGGGGAATGTGTTTTCCCCTCCACAATCAAGGAAAGGTTCTAAGAGGAACTCTCTAACCTTTTTTCTTATAAGTTCTCTCTCTCTCTCTGAGGCCTTGTTTTAGCAAGGCTGCATATTTAAAACAAGACATTTCACGACACTGATTAACTGATGTTTCCTTATGACTCATTCGTAGGAAGAGCACTTGCTGTCACGTGGACATTTTGGGTTTAATGTATGTGTAAACGAACTAGTCTAGTGGTGGAGGCCAAGAAGTCCAGTATTTGGGGGGCAGAGGCAGCTCTTGCAGTCACGGAGATGGCCTTGAACTCACAGGGTGGGGTAATTAAAAGCGGGGCTGGAAGTCACTGAATACTCTAAACCTGCCTTCTGGGTGGAGGCTGGAAGGTGCGTTCTTCACAACCGGCCTGTTAAGAATAAGAGCAGCTCTGCCACCACAAGAAATCCAATTAGGTCAAATCAGATCAAATCAAAATGCCCATCTTTTTATTAAGGATGACGCTCTCAGGTGGCCCAGCGCATAGGACAGCAGGGAGCCCGTGCAGCCCAAAAACCACGTGTTCCTCCTCCAGGAGGCTCTTTAAATAGCTGTGGCGACTAGCCCTCACCACACCCCCAGGGAGGGGTCAGGACCTTGCATGCTGGGATTTGTAGTCTAGAGCAAAGCACTCCCAGGCCAGGGGCTGGGGCTACGCCCCCAACTTAACACGACCATCAGGCTGGTTTTTGGTATGCTTCCTTAAAATTTGTGAATATTGCCCTACTGGATGGTGGTGGCACACGTCTTTAACAGGGAGCCAGAGGCTGGTGAGTTTAAGGCCAGCCTGGTCTACAGAGCGAATTCCAGGACAGCCAAGGCTGCGCAGAGAAACAAGTTGAAACTTGCCTCTCAAGTTGTTTCAAATACTGATTTTTAGTAATCATCTTATTTACTATCCTTTATCATTATTATTGGTCAAGATGAGAAAAAAATAAGAGACCCTAGTTAGGTGGGAGCTGAAGAGAACTGAAAAGGTATTTGAAACACTCTTGCTTCGACCAAGAACTTCTGGCTGAAGAAGCAGTTGACTACTTGAAGCCCGAGTTTCTTCATCTGTTAAGTCTCCTCCGCCCAGAAACCGCCCGAATACCAGGAAGGCGTTTCCCAGACGACTTTCCCTGCCAAGCCTCTCCAGCCCTCCGTCCAGGCGGCCAGGAGGGGCCACTCAAGCAGCCCTCTGTGCCCCTCACAATGCTCCCCGGCGTGGCTCCCCCGCCCTCTCTCGCCCGCCCGGGCTCCGCCTCCGCGACGCGCGGCTCGCCCGGAACCCAGCCCAGCCCCCGCCCAAACCCCCGCCCCCGCCCCCCCCCCCGCCCCCGCCCTGCCCCAGCCCAGCCCCCGCCCATGCGGAGCCGCCGGCGCCGCCCCCTCCGCGCGCCCGCGTGCCGCAGCCCGCGTCGTCCACCGCCGCGCGCCTCCGCCGTCCCGCGCCGCTGCCGCCGCCGCCGCCGGGCTCGCTGGGTGGCGGGCTGCTGGCGCCGGGCTCCCGCCGGAGGAGAGGACAAGCAGCGCCGCCGCCGCCGCCGCTTCGGCCCGGGCCCGGGCGTCGGCCCCGCCCCGGGCCCCGGCCCCGGCC